TGTGAGGGCCTCTTCTTGAAGGTAAGGTGACAGTCGCCTGTGGGGCCTCCCACAAGGCAGCTGCTGACCAGCTGTCACTGGGGGAAAGCGCTCTGGCTCCCTGTGCAGCCTGCCAGTGCACCTTCAGGAGGGGTGGCCTGGCTCTTGCATCCGCCAGGTGCCGTGACAACCTTTGCCCAAGCTCTTAGGAGAGCAGGAGTTTAGCTAGCCTAGATCACCCTCCAAAAAGCCTGCTAGATTTCCATTGCTGCCAACTGAGACAATGATGGGGATTATCCTCCGGGTGGGTCCCCAAACACCAGTCTAGACTCCGCTCTCAGTGACTGACTTGGGACCATTAAACCCCGGGAACAAGAAAGAACATGAGCCAGTCTGGATTCTTGTGTCATCTGTAAGGGAGAGAGATGGGCAAGATTATTTATTGTTCTTGTGTCTAAATAAGGGGGGAACTAAAGAATTCAGACTTAGGGCCAAATGATTTCAGTTCCAACCCTGGCTCTGCTACCTGATGCCGGACAAGTCATTTTTAAAGTCACATGTATTTCCTTACACGTGTGTGTTCACAGCATGCCACAGCTCATGTAGAGGTCAGAGGACAGTTTGTGTGTGCTGAGGATGGAACTCTGGTTGTCAGGCTTGGGGATAGGTGCCTGTACCCATAGAGGCATCTCCCTGTCCCATAGATAAGTAATTTAATGTCCCTTTACCTCAAATTCATCAGCTGTAACGTGGGAATAATATTGGTTTCTAGTCAGGATAACCAAGCAGATTAAATGAGTTAAAATACAGTGTCAGGGCCACAACAACGTTTGTTAAATAAGAATGTCCTTGTTTATGCCCTTATCTCTTCGTCCTCATTTCTAGCCCCTACCAACTGTCCCCACCAAGACGAGAGGTCGTTTATGCCCGATCTCTTTCTTCTGGTAATTTCAGTCCTCGCCACCTGTCCCAACCCCCTTTTGAGAAGATGACAGGGAATAAGTTACACTCTTCAGCCCCGGTATTAGTTTCCTGTGGCAGCCAGAGCTGATTATCACAAATCTGGTGGCCTAAGTGACAAAACAATGTATTCTCTTACAGCTCCAGTTGTTAGAAGTTCAAAACCAAGCTGTCACAAGGTGGCTTTTACGGGAAACTATGAGGGGAAACCCCACCTCTCCCCCCATGTGCCCTCTGCCCCACGTGTACGCATGTGTATGTGTATGTCATACACTTGCTGGCACGCAATGGCCTGTGCCTCTCTTATAGTGCCTTTGAACATGTGCTGTTGTTTTGTCTTTAAGAGGAATGCACTCTCTGGCCACCACAGCAATCATCATCACTCAATAGCTTCTCTGCTCACGCCTCACACATCTGCGTCTCCGGGCCCGGAAGCTGTCTGGGTGTGCCGCGCTGCCCTAGCTTTGTTTCGGTTGCTGTGATAAAACACCGTGACCAAAAGCAACCTCAGAGAGGACAGGTTTATTTTAGGTCACATTTCCAGGTGGCAGTCCGTCACCTCGGGGGACGTCACATCGGCGGGAGCTGGAAACAGCTGGTCACATCGTCTCCATCACCAAAGGCAGAGACAAAATGAATGCGCATGCGTGGGCTTGGCGCGCCTCTGTTACTCCAGACGGTCCAGCGCTCAGAACTGAGGCACGGCGCTGCCCACTCTCAGGCTGGCTCTTCTCACACTGCTTAATCAAGACAATCTCACAGACATGCGCACAGGACACCTGGTCTAGACAGCCCCTCCCCGAGACAGTCTTCCCAAGAGACTCTACGTTGTATCAAGTTGACATTTAAAACCAGCCAACACAAATACCTTGCTTTAATCCCTAGATACTGAAATGCCTTCCCGTTTTATTTCAAGGTAATCTAATAGACACTCACTTTGGTGTTCCTGGGAAATACGCGGAGCTCACAGGGTGCGGTCTGATTCAGGCCATTCTGCCTCACTTCGCTAAGCCAGAAACACTCAGGTGATCCAGGCCTGGAGATGCCTCTGCCACCCTCTGTACACTGTCCCCAGCTCACCTTTGGTGACCATTGCTGTTGCTCACATTCATAACTTGATTTCCCATGATGTCACTGATCTAATTTTTTTTTTTAGCGTAACTGGTTCACCTAAAACAGGTGACCTTGTTTCTCTCTCTCTCTCTCTCTCTCTCTCTCTCTCTCTCTCTCTCTCTCTCTCTCTCTCCCCTCCTCCTCCTCCTCCCCCCCTCCTTCGTCTCTCCCTCCCTCCACCCTGCCTCTCATTTCCATTCCCCCATCTTTTCTTTTGAGGATCCGCATGCCAGAGAGCTTCCAGGTGATCCACGCTTGCACCAGGATGCCCTTCAATACTTAATAACTTGGGGTCCTGCTTTGAACTCAAGGGATTGATCCTCTTGACTTCCTCATCTCCTGAGATGGACCCATCCCTCTCCTGTTCTGGAGGCCATGCTGGGGATGGAGGTGCAGACTTCATCTAAGCTTTACTAGGAATATTTTCTAGGCTTGCTGTTTGGTTTTCATACTTCAAATAGCTCTTAGAATCAATATTTTTGATGAGTGAAGTGTAAATGAATGAGACGTATAGAATGAGTTTCCCCTTCAATTACGCGAAGAGAAATTCTGTGAGTTTCTATCAGAAAGCAAGAGCGTAACTGGGCATGCGCTGACCTCCTGGGGAAGCCACAACTGTGGTCGGTCGCGGGTCTCGCTACCTTCATGACCTTTCTTTGTGACGTTTGCCTTTGGGGACTGCTATTAAACTGTCGTTGTTCCTTTTTAAAATTAAGGTTGTAAAATATATAGAGATGCTAGCCAGCAATCCCAGCTCTCCACACACGCAGTGCTGTGTAGCTAGCTCTTGGTGCTCTTGAATTGGGTCCCAAAACAAGGTAAAAGTTCACTTTTGGAGATTTTCCCCACTCCCTCCTTCTCTCTCTTCCTTTGACTCTCCCTCCCTCCCTCCCTTTCTTTCCTATCATGTTGTTGTATGTGTGTGAGACAGGAGCTCATGTAGTTCAGGCTAACTAAGAATTCAACCATGTAGCTGAAAAAAAGAAAGCTTCGAACTTCTGACCCTCCACCCTCCTGTTTGTCTCTCCTGAGTATTGGGGTCACAGGTATGGGCCTCCATGTTCTCTCTTGCTTAATGTTGAAGTTCAAACCTGGAGCTTCCTGCTTGCCAGGCAATCACTCCAACCACTGAGCCACATCCTCAGCCCAGCTAAGGCACTTTTCCTTCAGAATGAAGAACAGACATTTGTTTGTGCCCAGGAACAAGCTCTTATGTTTCTCATGTCAAGTTTTGCTGTTCTGGAACTTATCCTCGCATAACAAGTGAGTTTGAGCCAAACAATCTTGAATCAAGAGAATGCAGGTGGCAAGGCCAGAAGCTGGCCAATGGGCTTCAAGCTATAGCTCTTCACTTCTGCATGCTTTGTTTTTCTTTCATCTCATTTTCACTGGTTATAATGCTTTTTGTGTCATAATAAAAATGTAATAATGTTCCATTAAATTTTTTCTCTTTGTCCTTTTGGCATTTGTATAATAGCAATAATAAGGGCAACAGATGGTTTTATCAACAATAAATAACTCAAAGAATTACATTTTTTCTGCACACAGATATTTATTTTGAAGGAAGCAAGCTAGCAATCTAAACCGAGAGCATGGTTTCCCCCCAGCATACGCGAAGAAAGCATCGGACTCTTTCTTTCTTTCTTTCTTTCTTTCTTTCTTTCTTTCTTTCTTTCTTTTTTATTTTATCATGTTGTGTCTTATCATCATAACAGTCACACACACACACACACTCACACACATATATATATTGAGATAGGGTTTCTCTGGCTATCCAGATCACTCTGTAGACTAGGCTGGCTGCGAACTCACAGAGATCTGCCTGCCTCTGCCTCCCGAGTGCTGGGATTAACGGCGCATGGCATCACACCTGGTATCATAACAGTCTGTAACTTAGTTGTGTACCTTAATATACTGCAACGGCCACATTTATAGGTTACCTTTGTTGGGTGTATTTTGGGTTGGGTTGGTTGTTTCTAGACTGTCTGAGTGAGAATGGCAAGTAGGTGTGGGTTCTCTTCACTTCCATGGTTGATGGATAGAAACCAGCAGGAACAGTGGTTTTCAGCCCTGGCCCTGTATTAAAGCTCTCTGGGCATCTCTTAATAATCGATGCCAGTCCCAACCCAAGTCTAGTTGTAGGATCTTTTGAGGGTGGAATTGGGACTGCTTAAAATCTCCCTGTGTGATTCTAATGCAATTCCTGCGATAATTATCACTGACCGGGAAGCATGGCTTCACACCTCAACAGGGATCAGGGGCCTATGGAGAGCTTGAGGAAAGCAGCTCCACGGGTCCACACAGTCCTCAAATTTTCCTGGTGGTGCTGTGCCGCGGGTTGGGGACCCATACTCTGAGAACTTGAAACGCAGTGTTGAGAAACTTGACGCGGGAGTGAGTTCAGCGGAAAACAGAGCCATGACTAATTAGTCGCGGGTGCCACTGTCACGGGAAGGAATAACTGTATTTGTTTCCTATGTTAGAGACTCATCGGGTAACTGCCTTGCAGAACAGTGTGGAAATGGGCCACCTCTGGAATGGTTGAGTCTTTACAGCTAGTGTTACCCATATTCTGACAGCCAGAACCAGGAGTCGCTCAGCTACGTCTCTCACGGTGTTCTTCAGCTCTTACAGGCTGCTTCTGCTGGAACCTACCTCTTGTGGGGCCTGGACTCTCTACCCACTGTAGATAGCTGATACCAGAGAGGAGTAGCTTGTCTTCCTATGAGCTGTTCTATCTGATCTGGGGGCTGGTTCTTAATGTGGGGTTCAAGTCCCAGAACATGCTTGTTTCAGTGGCATGCCCTAGAAGTCTGCAGATGTTCAGGGGTAGGGCTCAGGACTGGAAGAAAGGAGCTGCCGAACACAGGCAGGCAACAGAACTCAGCCCTGCCAGCTTCTGGTCTTGCCCTTTGACCTCTGAGTGCTCCATGTTGGTTTTCTTTCAGTTCTCCAGACCTCTCCTGAGAAGAGAAGCTGTCCAGATTCAGAAGCAGAATCAAACAACGGCCACGAAGAAACTTCAAGTGACTCCTCTGCTAAAGCTGCCACAGATTGGTAAGTTAGCTGTCTTGCTTATAGTATCTGGTGTGGCCCAGACTGACCTCGAATTCAGTATATAGGCAAGGATGGCCTTGAACTTCTGACCGTCCTGACTTTATCCCATAAGTACAGGGATTATAAGCATGCACCACCTACGTCTGGCTTATACAGTGCCAGGGATAAAATCCAGAGTTTCATGCATATCAGGTAAGCGCTGTACCAATTGACATCCTCAGTCCAGATAGGTGAGTCTTACTCATTTGAGTTCTCTTGTAAACCCAGGTGCTTCATGAACCATGCAGCAATTCCTACCATCTTGTTAATACGGTAAATTGGGAAGAGGAGCCCAAACATGTTTCCTTTAGAACCTCCAAAGTGATAAGCCATCATTCTATAGAAAGAAGTCTTCATTTCATAAGGACCACCTGAATTCAATCTTGATTTAAAAAAAAAAAGAATTTAATTATATTTATGTAGGTTGGTGTTTCACCTGCATGTATTTGTGCACCATCTGCATGCAGTGCCCCTGGAGGCCAGAAGAGGGCATTAGATTTCCCCCAGGACTACAGTCACAGATAGTTATCAGCTACCATGTGGGTGCTGAGAACTGAACCCAGGTCCTCTGGAAGAGCAGCCAGTGCTTTTAACTGCTGAGTCATGTCTCCATCCTCCAACTAGAATGAAGTTAGTGCAAAAAAAAAAAAAAAAAAACTGATAAAACAAACTAAAGTGTTCAGTCCACAAAAGAAGCTGGCACACAGCACACAGTTCCCTTCCATGGGGAAAGGACAGAGAGAGCCAGGGGGAGTCTGTAGGAAGAGTCAGACATGATGGAAGTAGTGTGGAGTATGAGGACGGCAGGGACGTGTGAAGGGTCTCTCTCCAGTTCCCCCATGCTCAGCACGGGGTCGGTCTCTTCCCATGGGCGTCTCATATAGCCCATACACCAGTCATCTGCAGGCACTACCACTCTGTTCCAGTTGGGGAAGCTGAGTCTGGTGACAGCTGTCAATCAGACATCATCAGAGTCGCAGATGTGTAAGCGTGCTGTGTTAGTCTATATGACATCTGGGTTCGATCCCTGGATCTCTGAAAATTAAATAGAAGTGATTAGTTAATGAAAAGAAGGGAAAAAGGAAAGTTCTCGGTTGGCTTTTTCAGATTTCCTGCGGGCTGCCTGCCCTCCATCAGCAGGTGTGCCTCAGGCGGTGCCATGCTGCACTAAGGGGCAGACTGGACTCTGAGTCTAGAACCACTGTCTCCAGGAGCAACACCAGCTACCACTTGTTTATCATTAGCACCTTCCTGTCGAACCGTTTTACAGACAGGAAGCTGCTCAAGCAGAGCAGAGCCACATACTCCAGCGTCTTCTAACATTGAGACATTATAAATTACTGCTTGTGTCACTTACAACAGAGTCAGGACTTGAAAGAGGCCGTCTATGCCAGCATCCACACTTTGAGCCAGTAAATCCTACTGCTTCTCTAGGCTCCGGTTGCCAAATGATTACTCCAGGGATTTGTTGTTATTGTTGTTGTTGTTCTATCCATATTGTGTCTTTACTTGTCATGGCTTAAATCTCAAATCACAGTCAGCTAAGGAATATGTCATGATTAGCATGAAGCCGTCACTCTTAGATTGGTGGAGAACATTCCAGCACCCAGTTTCTCGTCTACAGCCTCACGGGAAAGGTGGTCCCCCCTCTGTGTGATGAAGTGGGTCAGTTTAGCAGAGGAGAAACCAGACTGGGCCTTAGAGTGGAAGTCAGGAGGTACAGTGTTGCAGCTCAGCTCCGTTTTCTGTGTGAACCGGTGATGGTGTACTGTGAATGACAAAATGCAAAGACTGGCGTTTCTGGGTTGTAGATGATGGGACAGATGATGATGTCTCAGATGATGGGAATCTCCATAGCAATGCTGGAGGGTCCTCCTTTATTAATCTGACCTGCTTGTAGCAAAGCCCTGAGGCTTTCCGTGTTCCATTTTCTACTGCAGCCAGCCTGTTACATAGAAGGGACCCCAGGAAGGAGGCAAGGGCACAGATGTGGAGGGAGGATGCGGATGGTTCTGCATGGCAGCTGCAACACACGCCAGAGGAGCTGCCTCACTGTGGACACCTCAGAGTGACTGGAACCCTCATGATTCAGGCAGCTTGGGAGAGTTGGCGCCTCACAAGAGGGAAAAACAGGCACGTGTTTCTTCTGTGTGTCCCTTGTAGCTCTGGGGCTGCAAGCCAACTAGCCTGACCTCAGAAGCAACCTCCCAGTCAGCAGGGCCAACTGTGGGCCAGATTTCCATGTGGCCTGTGAAGAACAGATTGCCACAGTGCTTGACAAATACTCTGTGTAGTGAGTCCTTTGTGGGAATTCATGGCGGCACTCAGGGGACTAATGGCAGTAAATCCCCCATTAGATTTCTCAGGTGGTACAGCCACCTGTTAGCGATGGAGCAAGAGGGAAAATGGCGGCATGGTGAGAAGGGAGTAAGCAATAGTCTTAGGAGATCCTTATGATATGGTGGGCCCTATCTACATGTGACTCTATTTGGGTAGAAAAAGAATGAGTTTTGGTAGCAGTCATGGGTTCAAATCTTACCTTTGCCACTCCAGGCTTTACTATCCTCTCTTTCTCTGAACTGAGACTGAAGAAGGAGAGGCAGCTGGGACGGCTAGAGAAAGATCTCTGTGAAGGAGCAGGCACAGTGCTAGACACAACAAGGAAGGTTGCCGGGTTGTTGATCGTGGTAACAGAAATAGTAGCAATCGTAGTAGTAATATTAGCATTTAAAGTTGATGTAGGAAGGGCCAAGGCCTCACTGGTGCGGCACTGGGATTATACTCCAAGATAAACACTGAGATTTCCAAAACTATAGGATCTTTGACAGATGTTTACTCTCTACTTTGACTGGAATGCCAAACTTCATTTGTGTTTCTGGTTCTGAACTCAGGGGTAAATCCCAGGTTGACTTCAGGCCCTGGACTCACCCTTGGCCATGGGGCCAGGATGTGGCTAGCATACATGCCCACATATAACCTTCTGAACTTCACTGACTGTTAAGAGTCTTCTTAAACCCCCAAAATGGTTAAACTTTAATTGGTCACATTTATTTCCCAACCCTTTGAAGCTAGGAATCTTATCACCAGCTGAAAGGGCTTCAAGGAAAAAATATGTTTTCCGTTATATTTTTCCTTGTGGATTAGCTTATGGCTGTACATAAATATTTATCTGAAGTATTTCAACAAACCCTAAATCATCAGCAATCCTTCTGCAGAGGACCCTTTTGGAAGATTTGTGTATGTCGAGAATGTCAGCAATCTCTTTATAGTACCAGATTCCAAGGGCCAGAGGCCCTTTGCAAATATTTGGGAGGTTTTCAACATGTCTTTTACTTTCCCAAATCTGTGCATCTCTTCCTACCGATTCTTCTGGATAGGATTACCCTGTCTGGCTTTTCTTTACCTGTTGGTATTTCGCCGAATTTCAAAATCTCAATCCAGTGGCACCTCCTCCAGGGCCTAGAGCAGACGCAAGCAGAAGACTGCTCCATGCAGAAGGACCAGGCTGTGGTGCAGCCCCAGGTGTGTGGACACTACTCTGGGGGACAGTGAAGGGTCCAGTGGGAAAAATCCTAAGACTGAGCGGGAGTGTAGTGAAGCAAATAGAAGTATTATAGGCAAAGACATGGGGGCCCTGCACTTGGGAGACCTCACAACAGTGACAGCCAAAGGGGTACCACTCTGTTGACCAAAAGATACAACCAAGCCCTTGACTATGATATGGTGGCCAGACATTTTCCCCCGTACAATACTTTTCTGTTTTTGGTTAGTTTTCTAACGTACAAAAATAGAAATATTTCATGCATCAACCCAGATTTCAGATAGTTTTTTAGAACTTGGAGTATCTGGTGGTGATGTGTTGGTATAGAGTCGATGCTGTCTTCGGTGGCTCCCTGCCTGCTGGTCTGCTCATCCTTGCTTAGCTATGCCAGCGTCTGCACTGGAATGTTGCCCTCTGCGTCCTGCGGCCTCCGCCTGGTAGAGGAGACAATTCAGGCTACCAGCTCTGGAGCTAAAGTGTCTCTGTCCAGGTCTGTGTCCAGCTAGCTCCATGACCTTAGAAAAGTATGCTTCTAATAATTTCACCTTTCCCGTATGGCCGGTGTGGTAATAGACATGCACAGGACTACCCGGCCTGCCATAGGTAAGCAAAATATTAGTTGTGATCTCTTTATCCCGCGAGAGACACTCAACACTAGAGCTGAAACTGGCGCCCATTTCTGCATCACTCACAGAACCTAGGACATGGACTCTTAGGCCGTAACAGACAAGAAATAGTTTATGAGGGACAATGTTTTCGGGGTTCCTAGCTCTCTAAGGTTTAACTTCAGCATGCAGGTTAACCTTTCACACAAAACGTGCTGACTTTCTTCAAAAGCCGTCAGTACTAAGGAAATAAGTTTTTCTGAGCCCTCCCCTCCAAACTCAAAAACAAACCCACATTTAGAAAGGTCCTTAGTTCGTTGTTAGTTGTGTTTTTCCCTCCAGAAGTTCAGTTGTGAGCGGGCGGCTGTCTAAGATTCATTTCTCAAGCTAAAGTCAGTCGCTAGAGATTAGTGCATAGGAACTTCTGCAGGGAGGAAATCGGGGTGCCTGTTAGACAGGACCCTGGGCCTTTCTGAGCTGATCCCCACCCCTCCCCCGCCATGAGAGTCAGGGCTTTGTGCTCAGTGCCTCCAACATGATGGCCTGTGTGCAAAGAACCAGTTTCCAGTGTTCCGACCCTCTTTGTATATACTGCAGTCACAATCCTGCCTCATCAGGCCTTCCCAGAGGCTACTGGTGGACGTGGGCAGAAGATTTGTGGTTAGGTTAATGCACTTCCTGTAGTGGCATTTCAATGGTATTTTAATAGCTAAAGCTTGCCTGCAGATCAGAGAGTAAAACAGTCCCACTGGCCAGAGTTGCAGACCAGGCAGTGGTAACACACACCTTAAATCCCAGTAGCCACACTAGTTTGC